ATATATTTTGAAAGGTGAAAAAAAAATCACTTTTACCCCAATGAGTTCTCACAAAGGTATAATATGCCTTGTTGGATATTCCACTTGATTATAAAAGAATTCTCAGTTCACTACTGTGCAAAACCAAAATGGTTCAGTGATATAATCACCTATGAGAATTCCTAATAAAAAGGCTGCCACATAACCATCTTCTGAGTCTTGTTCAGAAGAATGTTGCCTATGTTGTAAAAACAAATAAAACATCCTTGTATGTCATTACTCATCTCCAGGTTGACAAGCTCATCAAAGAAGTAGCCTCCTGAGAAACAAAAATGGTACCATTTGGTGGTTGTCCTTCATAGAAAGGCTGCTTCCTTCAACAACTGATACATTGTCTTACATTGGAAGGTCAAAATGGAGCTGTCACTTCAGAAATCAGCAAGGAGTGGACATTGGGTGCTCAGTTTGTTCCCTCCCTCCTCCGACGAGTTCATCTGCACATGGAAGTTAGGGACCTGCCCTGGGCAACGAGCTCCAATTGACCAGGAGTTCTGAATCTAAGAAGGACTTGCTAAGCATCACGTCCTGTGTGCCGGTATGTGTTTGTATGGCAAAGCTAATTCACTTCGGGTTGAAATCAAATTGTTTGAGGCTGTGCTAGTGTTTTTACTGGTGTCCTTCCAGCTGGCCTTCCCTTTTAAGTGCCATTGTATTTCAAACAGGCTGATCTAAAGGAAGAGGTTACTGCTGCCAGCGTGCCTTGTCACCAGGGAGCCAAGAGCTGCAGCACCTATTTTATGTTATTTATTTATTTTCAAGCACTGATAGAGGGATGAGCTAGTCTGCAGCTGAGGGGTAATGAGCCGACTAGTCAATGAAGGGTCAGGAGAGGGGTGGAATGATGGGAAAGAAAACCTAACAAAATCTCTTAGTATCTGCTGCAAAATGGCCATTTAAAGTTGAGGAAGGGAACTTTTTAAAACATGTCATAGAAATTGTGAAAAACAATCCTGGGAGCACCTCTAAATCACTAGGCACACATACATTATTGATTTCAGTTACAATTTAATTATTTGAGAGCTTTGGCACATATATGCAGTTTAGTGTCACCCCCAAACCCTGCTTCCCCCAAAAAAACAAAATTCAAGGGAACAATCAATGCTCACGATTCACTGGCATTTTAGATCTTTTCATAAGTAAAAGAAAACACTTCCCTATGGTCTATTTCCTGTATCAACACCATCGACAACAAAACCCATCATAAAACTTAGGTAAAGTATGTGTTTTCATTCCAGTTTACTTAGAAATGGTTTAGACAATTGGCCTTAAGGTATTAAAATCCAGAGCTAGCATTTAGAGTTTACATTAAAATTGGAGTGTCCCCACTCAGGATCTATTCTGAGATACCCATTATAGTACTGGAAAGCACAAGATTTTAAATATCTTTTAAATAGTCACAGGGGCTATTACACAGAAACTATTACAAGAGTTTGCTTGCTTATGCTCATTCCTGGGTGGGTTTTCTGGAGGAGGATCCATCCCCCAACTGACCATGCACATGGCTGATTTAATGCTTTGCTTCAACAACTCTGTTGCCTGAGTGAAAATACCTCTTCTGCCGAAACCTTTTGCTGGTGAGTTGAATACAGTGTTTCTGCCATGATCTTTGAGGAATCTGTTTTCTTGTTCATCACATCCAGTCCTTGAATGAGGAGAATCACATCAACAAAAGGGAGAGAAAAGCTGGGAACAGGCAGGTTAGAATGTGCGCCTGGGGGTGGTGGGGAGGGTGTTAGTTTACAGAAGCGCATTCAAAATCGTAAGGTAAGCTTCATGTTTGGAAAGCAAAATATTACACTTCCTGCTTCCACAACAGGGCTGGGGAAGCGGAGGGTCAACAATGTCCTGCCTGCTCTGCCCAGGCCAGGTACGAGGGAGGAAGCACTTAGAACTGGCAGAAGGAATTGTATGTTCATCCAAAGGGCTCTGGGTTGCAGCTGTAAGGATGCCTGCCCTTCACATCGGCCACAGGCATTTCTAGGAGAAACCTATTCAGGACAGAGAAAATCAGTTTTGAGCTAAAATTTCCTAATGTCAACTGAGCCACTTGTCCACCATCAGGAGGAGAGTGAGGGAGTCCTGGGGCTTTGAATGGCTACTGCTCACTGTGGCTGAGGAAAGGGCTCCAGGATGTGGCCCTCAGCTCTACCCACGTTGGGCAAACCTTCATCCAGGTCTGTCCCAAAGCTTCTCTCTTTTCTAAAGTTCCTGGGAGATGCCAGCCAGGCTGGGCATCTTTCTCTGGGTTGGATGGGCCTTTTGATCCCTGTCCCTTCCCCAGCCTGACCCCTGGAAGGCACGACAGGTCTCACAGGAGGAACCCCCACTCTATCTCTGAGAGCAGAGGCAGAGTCAAGCTCAAGGTGAGGCCAGAGGTAGGATCCTGGCAGATGGCCTGCCCAAGAGTGCAAGAGGGATCCTAGGGGCTTGATCTTCCTGTGGTGGGTGGAGAGAAGAAGGTCTGGGTCCGCCTTGACTCGCTCCTTCCCAGCAGTATCAGTCTGAGGCCCAGCAGAGCAGCACCGTTCCTAGGAGGACTGGACCCCAACGGCCACATGGGGACTAAATGCAAAGGTCAGCAAAGACCTTGGAGAAAACTCCTCGGCTGTGCCGTGGCTGCACGGAAAGCTGACTTAAGTCAGAACAATCTCTGTAAAACAATCTCCGTGGGCCCAGACCTAGGTAAGAGCAAGGGGGATGGATGGACAGAAAAATGTATTCTGAATGTGGAAATTCAATAACACAATTTTTATAACCAAGTCTTAGACGGGAAGGGGTTTCCTCCTATATGATCTTGGAAGAGTAAGGGGGGAGGGGACCAAAAACAAAAAGCAAAATTGAATTTGGCAGTGGGCGTTGGAAGAGCTGATGATGTTTTTATTTCCAGACTAATAACATGGTATATCCTAAGTTTTGGCTTTTTGAAGCGGATTTGAACTTTTGCACAATCTGTTAACACTGGCATGCACACCTGTGTATGTGTATCCTGATAGTAGCTATGATTCTAATTCTTAATTTAAAAAATTTGATAAAACTAAAATGTTAAATGAAAATACTGATGAACACCAACCAGGTGGCTGGTATTCCTTGGGAAATTATTTAAAGCATTTTGAATTGGAATGACAACTTCATTATTTAAAGAACTCCTAATGCTAGCTCTAACAGGCAGCTCTCTGGCCCAGTGCAGTGTGTCCCTGATTTGCCTATTGGTAAGAGTCACTGAGGAGCTTATGAAGTACCAGTCCAGGGCCGCCCAGTCCTTCTGAATCCCAATGTGGGAATCTGCCCAAAACAGGGGATTCTTATGATCAAGTAAGTTCTGAGCTCACTTTAATAAAGAGCAAATGGGTTTTGGAAGTGAATATTGTAAAAAATGTGGGTAGTTGAATTAGTTCATATGATCAGTTCTCTTTTTAGAACTTTTCTAAAAAAATATAAAATACTTTCCAAATAATAATTTTATGTATGGCAACACAATGTAAGACTGACCCTTTCTTGTCTAGTTTGTACATGAAAGACCACAACTGGTGTTCCTTGTCCCAAAGTCATCAAACTGTCATTTAAAAAAAAAAATGCTCAGCTACAAGTGACTTAGAAAGAATCAAAGTTCTATTGACTTAAATATCAATGTCTTTTTTAGGAATCTCTATGTCCTAGAAATATATGATTTTCAGGAAGTCTTTTTGTAAAAACCCAACTTTCACCTACAGTGAAAAGATGGATGAAAATTAATAGAAAGATCCATAAATCCATTCACAGGGAAGAATGTCCCCGGGGTCTCATGATTCACAGCAGCCAGGCTGCATCGAGGGCCTGCTGGCCTGGGAGACTCACATTTGTTGTCTTCTGGTGTCACATCTGCTCTGAAAGGTGGGCACCATCACCTCCCTCTACAGGTAGGAAGACGGGACACTCAAAACCTGCCCAGTGCCTACACACTTCAAGGCTGGTCCCAGCATCTGGGCTCCAGCCTGTCCACCAGCTTGCTCTCTAGATGACCCCATGGCATGGACTAGAGTCGGTCACCTCTATCTTACTGACACCAACAGAAAAGAAGTATTGGGAAGTACAGTAAGCATCGATTACATATTTAAAGATGTCTTGCTTGAAGTTTTCCTATTAAGCAGAATACTGTGGTATATGTCATCTAGATTTCTCCTCTGTGTTTCACTAAAGATAATTTTTCACTCATTTAAAGCAATTGTGAGATTCTTAATTCTCCCAAAATGTATTAAATCAAACTTAAGCCCAAGCAGATTATTTTTTAACAAAAATGTTCCAGTTGTCCACAAAGTGTCCCTAGACACTTCATCTATTTAACCAAATATTTTCATGCTTGGCAGAATAAGAAATTCTAAAATCTAAAGAATGTTTCAAAGCCCTTCTTTACTGTAATATTCAGAATTCCATCAAAGTAAGTTTTCAAGAGAAATAGTCAATTTAAGTGCTAACTTTTCAGAAAACATATGTGTGGTTTGATATTTTTTAAATGAAGACATCCAAATTTGAGTATTTGGGATGTGGGGGTTGGGGGTCTACAGTAAGCCATAGACCAGTTATTATTCTTGATCCTTGATGTCTATTAGATCCATTTCACCTGAGGGCAAAGAATTTTATTACCTGTGAAAAGCTTTGATACATTGAGAATACCTTCATGATTGGCCTTGGAGTTAGCAATGTTTGGTCCAGAAAGGTACAGGATGACTTTAGTATTGCATCATCTCTCATAATTATCCAAAATTCAAGTTTGTAGAGATGGGTCTCAAGGTGGGTGAAACTTGACAGGTTTTTCATGGTAATACCATTTGCTTAGACTTCCTAAAAGTAGAGCTGAGATAGATTTTATGTACGTCTGTATATTTTTGTATTTTCATTCTGTAAGCTTTCTTTAGTGACAATTGTGAGCAAGCAAAACAAATTGGGCAACTGCTTTATTTTAAAATGATTATAGCTTTGTAATCACCAGTTTTGTCAATTTATTTTTAAATGAAAAAAATCAACATTTAAAGGGTCCAAAAAAAAGGCAGATAATTTTTTTGTGTGTTTTGTTTTAGGAGACATTTACAAACTTAGTCCACTGTTTTTTGGGAGAGAAAATATCATAGGGAAGTGAATCAACCAGCCCGCCCTTTGCCCCCAAAACCCCCACAGGCTATAGATAAAATTACTAAAATTAGTCTAAGAATTTGCATTACTTTTAATGCATGGAAAATAGCGAAATTATCATGCCAACATAAGGAATAGATACTATAATTCATAAGTGCCTAATTATCAAAATAATGACAGTCATGGTTAGATGCAACCTAGCAATCTTTTATAAGATGCAACTACATATTATATGATCATTCCTGTTATATATTACATTCAATCCTCATCAAATTAAGCTATGTATAAATGGCATCTGAAATAGACATTTAATTTCACAATAGGGTCATATTCCGCTACTGTACATCCATGACATGCAATTAACTAGGCATTAACTGTAAAGTGTCATTACCTTCCAGAAATCCAAAGAACATGAAGAGTACATATATAGTACTAAACATCAATTAGATTTGAGTGACTTTCCTGTTAAACAAAACTAAACTGTATACAGCAGCTTTGGATATTTCTGTCATTTTTCTTATATATTCTGTAGTCACCCCAAAGTCAAAAACTGCAAATCCAAATTGGATCTGTTAACGCTACAGAGCTTAATGAACTGTTGTCAGTATTAGGACACAAATGATTCTATGTTCCAAAATAAAATCTGTTTTATTTTAATTTTTCTTTCTGCCATAATTCAGAATCTTGAATCATTAAGAATGTGCTGCGCGTGGCCAACAGTGGACTTAATTTTGAACTGTAGACTCACTCCCATGACACCGATGTGTTTATGTTAGAAACAGGGGTCTGCTGAGGCCTGCCCAGCGATGCTCTTATCTTTGTATATGCTATGTGAAATGGCTGGCAGAAAGGATTTGGGGGTGTCATCTCAAAATGCATTTCATAATATTTGTAAATGATAAATAAAATCTAGCAGCTAGAAGAGGAAGGCCCAAAGAAAATGACACGTTCTTATAAAAATGCAGATAGATCATTTAGGTCTGATCCAATGATTCCTAAGCAATTAGAAAATTACCATACTGGAGCAGAAGCTTGCACACTAAATTTCAATCTCCTCAGATTGTGGTATCAGAGGCTGTTTTTGGAAGGAGGGGAAAAATTGATTGCTGGACAGGCTTTTCCATGCTCTATCAGCTCTGATAATGACTTAGGCAGTTGGCATGGACGACAGGAATGTCCTTTACACTCAGAATTCTAATAAACCTCCTGTGAAGTTGCACATACCCATCCAGACGGTTCATTCTGGTCTGCATTCCAGGTAGGTGGAAGATAACTGTTATGTTCTGAAATTGAGTTTGAACATGATATGGTTGTGTGAAATATTTAAATATCTTACCTACATGCTACTAAATCAAAAGCTTGCTTTCACATTTACAAGATAAAACAGCATTTAAAGTCATTGTGATTTGTTCATTTCCTGTTCATATACAAGTGACCTAAGTTTGCTTCTGAGGCAAAAACTGTACAATTCTCATCATTCAGGCATTATAAAATGTCTTTCTTTAAAGTCTTGGGATATAAACAGTTGATTTATATGAATTACATATTTTTCATCTGCATTAAGAAACAATATACATCTTTTTCCAGAGTAATTTAACATCAGCTATGATAAGCCTAACAGTCATAAAAACTGACCCTATCACCTGTGACCACCAATACTGTTACTTTTATAAAACTTGTGAACATTCTTTGGCCACTTGGGACATTGCCCACTTAGAGGAACTGCACTTGGGCCCTGGATCCTACAAAGATTGGCCTCCATAAAACCTGAGGCCAAAGGACAGCTTTAACGGAAGCCAGTTGTGAAGGAAATCAGCGTAGAATATGCAGGAGTGGTTTCCATTTCTCAGACACAAGTTCCTTGGCGTGTGGAGAGGTGTTTTCGATTTCGGACCCCTGAAGTCTTGTCTTTATTATCTGAAGGCTTCTGCTGTGAAATATCTATCAGGGCACTGGCAATAGCAAGACCTGGAAGGGAAGGAGAAGGATATTTAAATGCTTGCTTCCCCATTTCTGAATGGCAAGCCCTGTGGCCCAGGGTCCTGCTCACTCTTGTTTTTTGTTAGTTATGAAATGTTTTCCTGATCATTTGCCAGCAAGTAGTTTTCTAAAATATTGCTTAACTTGGTCATGTGCACTTCACCCTTGGACCACAAGGATCTAACAACATTAGTTGACTCTGACTCTGGACAGTCAAGTTCAGTGTTTGACCAACATCATGATCAGTGGTGCTCCCACACCTTCGTCTTTGTGCCTGAACACATTAGCTCTGGATGTATGAAGAATTTTCACTGTTAATATAGATATATTTTTTTTTTTTTGTTTTACAAAGTTCATACCAAGATTTTTAAAAACCTGGAGCAGTTTTACGTTTATAGGAAAACTGAATCAATATTGATACATGATTATCAACTGAAGTCCACAGTTGACTCTTTGGTTTACCCTTTGTGCTGTGCAGTTCTGTGGGTTTTGAGAAATGCCCACTGTCACGTGTCCCCCAATACAGCATCCCACAGAAAAGTTTCACTGCCCTAAAAATCCCCAGTGCTTCACTGAATCATCACACTCTTCCTCAAAGCCTCCAGCAGCTACTGGTCTTCGCTTAAAGTCTTGACAGTTTTTCCCTTCCCTGGGTGGTACATAGTTGGAATCCGACAGTGTGGCCTTTCAGATTGGTTTCTTTCACTTAAAACTATGCACCTTCTAGAGTTTGAATACTGAATGTCCCCAAAGGCCCATTGTTAAAGGGTTAGTCCCCGGCGTAGTGCTTCTGTGAAGCAGTGGACTCTTCAGGAGGTGAGGCCTAGTCGGAGGTCCTTAGGTCACTAGAGGACTTCACTGAAGGGGACGGTGGGACCCTGGCCCCTTTCTCCTGGTTCCTGGCCATGAGATGAGCAGGTTGCTCCATGAAGTGCTCCCTGCCATTGCTATGCAGCATCCACCACAGGTCTGAAGTTGGCCTGATCATGGACTAGAGCCTCCCAAACAAACTATGAGCCAAAAATAAACCTTTTCCCTTCATAATTTCATTACCTCAGGTATTTTGTTATAGGGAAAGAAAGCTGAGTAAACACATTTCAGGTACTTCCATATCTTTTGGGGAAATGATAGCTCATTTTCTTTTACAATGAATAATACTCTGTTATATGGATGTACCCTGATGTGTTTGTCCTTTCCCCTATTGAAGGGCATCTCTTACTTCCAAGTTTTGGCAGTTATGAATAAAGCTGTTATAAACGTCTGTGTGCAGGTTTTATGTGGGCATAAGTTTTCAATTGATAAATACCTAGGTGTGCTACTGCTAGATCACATGGGAAGCCTATAACTTTGTAAGAAACTACCAAATTGTCTTTCAGAGTGGCTGTACCTTTTTACATTCAGCAATAAGGGGAGCTCCTGTTGCTCCACATCTTCACCAGCATTTGCTATTGTCTTCATTTTGAATTTTAGCAATTCTAATAGATGTGTAGCAGTGTGTCATGGTTGTTTTAATCTGAAATTACTAATGATTTATGATGCTGAGCATATTTTGATGTATTTATTTACCATTTGTTTACCTTCTGTCGTGAGGTATCTGTTCATGTCTTTTGATCACTTTTAATTGGGTTGTTTTCTTATTGTTGAGTTTTAAAGTTCTGTGTACATTTTGGATGTCAGTCTTTTACCTGATAAGGTTTTGCAAATATTTTTTCCCATTCAGTGGCTTGCCATTTCATTCTTTTAAACTGTTTTTAACAAAAAAGCACCCCGAGGGCAGAGCTGTGCTATGCACAAATGGACTTGGAAGAAAGACCACCTGTTGAAGTTTAGTTGATAAATCTCTTAGAAAAGGACTGTAGGTATTATTGGCAGAATATGATCCAAAATGGGTCTCCAGCTATCATAGGCAATTCTGAAAAAAACATTGTGTTTTTATAGTAAATAATCGTTACTTTGTTTGCTCATTGATTGACAGGAACATTCAGTTAGAGACTCGGAGACAACAGACTTTACTAAACTTACACAAGCAATGGTTCAATGGCGGACCCTGCCTTAGCATAGCTACAAGTGAACCACTTCAGTTTCCGTCGATTCCCATTCTTGACTAAAACAAAATATCTCAAATCACCATCCTACATCACAGGGCCAGGCTGCTTAGGCTTGTCTAAGAAGTGCTCACGGAGGAACTTGTGACTCATTCTCTTTCTCCAAGGTCTTGGAGGCTTCACTTCCAAGTGAGCGGACCCACCCCAAGCCCTCACGGCCATCATCTCCACCTGTGGCTCTTAGATGAAGACTTCTGTTTTGGATCTAACCCCACAGAAGAAGTCACTGAATTATTTTATCCCTGTAGGTCGATTGATTCTATGTAAGCTTCAAATATGATCTGGCAAGAACAAAACTCCAGAGATTTATGAATAGAAAGAAATGCCAACAGAGAGGAAGGTCACACAGCCTAGCCCAGGTGTCAGGGAAGTCTACAAAAACGTGTCACATTGGGCCAGCAGGCTAAGGCCTGCAGATGACAGGCTGTTAAGATGCCTCAAAGAAGACCCCAGTGATCTTCGTGCCGTTTTCATGCCTGAGGAAGGAAGCCTGACAGTAGAGCAGGGCACGGGGTGGGAGGAAGTGTAGCCAGCAGACATTAAGTCCCTCGTTTAAGATGTTCAGCAAAGGACAGAGACATACAGGCATATCTTCTTGGCAGAAGCAACAAGCCCAAGTGATATGATGTGATGATGCGTGTGATTATATGAGCACATGTTCTTTTAAAAGGAAAAGGTAGACTCAAGTTCATTTGGGAACAAAAGAGAAGGTATTGGGGGAGAAGGAGAAATTTATGGTGTCAGAGGGAAGGTTTCACAAAGTTAATAATGATTGGTGGCTAGCCTAATAATTGTATACATTTACCTTTTAAGGCCTGCTGTGGAGTGGCTTACTTTTCTAGGATATTAAATATTATCCTGAAATACTTAGAGGTAGCACAGGTTCCAAGTTTAAATTAATATGGTGAGGTGAAGGACATTAATTATGCTCTATAAAATGGAGGTGAAGGACATTAATTTTTTAAAAATCACAGACTGTGTTTGTGCTAACTGAAAGTTCAGTTCAGGCAGACCTTCAGTTTCTCCAGCTCTCCTGGCATACTTCTGTCATAACTTACAGCTTCCTGCTCTTTCGTTCCTGGCACCATTTTATGCAGAGACAGCCAGATATGACAAATAATGTATGTTTCCTTTAATGGGCACAGAGACCACTTACACTAATTTCAATGATCACAACATCCAAAGATGAAATCATTTTATTCATTAAACTATTGCATGACCTGGGCCAAAGAAGCTCTGAAAAATACTTTTCCATTTACATATGGCAGCAAATGTTGATTTCCTTACAGAAGATACAGAGCCAGAGAGGAGTAAACAGTTTTGAGTTGCCAAAACAGGAAATTCTATGCTAATTCAAGGCTGTCACAGTATCTGTATTTCAGGGTATACGAAGTCCAAAGCCTAATTAAAGTAGTGTCTCTCACAACATGTCCTGGGTTTGCTAATGATTCTGAAGCTTGGAGACACATTCAGCTGAAAAATCAGAAGTCATAAACCATATTTCAGTTCTTAATTTACAAATAAAATTGCAAATCATGCTGATTTTTTGTTTGACAGCTTTTTATCTTTTCCCTGTGAAAATGGGACAACCAACCACATTTTCAGGTTCTGAATAAATGGATATAAGTGGTATGTGAATGTGCACCCTGTGCCTTCACAGAGGACTCCCTACCCACTTGCTCAGGTCTTATCTTTTTGATGGGTCAAATGACAATTTCATTCAGATTTAAGCTTGAGTGCTTTACTAGATCAGTTTGTAACCCACCATGAGTTATCCTTCCTTATAAATCTTGTAATTTAATGATGAACGACACAATAATCCTACTAACCACATTGTGTGTGTACTTACCTAGAATGTCAACTTGAGGATAAATTTTGTGTTACTATTTTTGCATATTTTCATGTTTAAAACATGATGAACTTTACAAAGACAGAAAATAACTAGAACAATCCAGAAGTTCCCAGATCCTCTTTCATCCTACAGGAGGACATGGTTACAAGAATCAAGGTTCCTGTCCTCCCCAACTGCAAAGTGAGGGCAGAACTCAGGGGGAGGGGGAGGAAGTCATTTCTGCCACTGCCCTCAGCACACTCTGTTATTGTAAGGAATCTAATTTTCTTAATTGATTTAAAGTCAAGTCAGTAGCTCTTTAAAACAGATAATATTCCCTCCCCAAATCCCTAACTGAACTCTATGTGGGGAAGAGACTGAACATACAGACAATGGCAAGACTATATAAAACAATAGAGTTCTGACCAGTCAGCAGCGACATGCTCAGAAAACCAACCCATTATCTACAATGACCATCCCAGGAAGCCAGCCTGCTATAAGTCAGACCAGTAGGAGTTCAAACTGCTATCTCTAGTAACAATCCATGAAGTCAAACAATAACCCTGGTAAGGGTGGGGGGGGGGTGTCCAGATGGCTTGCACTTGATTTATAATTGACATCCCTAATTTGTCCCTACTTCCAATTTAGGACAACTAGAGGGAGGGAAATGCACACCTAACCAAATGAGCAGAAGGCTCCACTTGCAGTTAACCTGCCTCCAGCTCCCTAGAGCCAGGTGCTCCAATCTCGACCCACCTGGGGCTTGCCCGCTCCTCTGAAAGCTTTCCCAAGCCTCTGTCTGGCCTCAAGTGTTTGCCAAAACACAAGCGATGGTGGCTCACTCCCTCTCTGTAACAAGCTCCTAATGAATAGCTTTTGCTTCTTTCCATTGTGTTGGTCTTGGTTTGTTTCCACACTGGCCATGAAGAGATAAGGGCAACTTAAGGTCTTTCCTGGATTTTTCCAAAAAGACACATATCGATAAAATAAAAGCAACCTAGAAGTAGTTTCATCTGGTGCCCCTTGCGGTGCGCTCTTTCTTCCCGGCGAGA